GATAATATTTTTTATTTTTTTTGGTATATAACGTAATCTATGTAAGATCGAATAACCATCACCTTAGCATAATTACACGTTACATATTTCCCACATTATATGGGGTGTGTGAAAACAAACTAATTCTGGTGCAAAGGTTAAAAAAAGTACTAGTGATCAGCAGTAAACAGTTTAACGGTTTCAATGGCGATTGCTTCATTTTCAGAAATTAGCCCCATAACCAGACTAAAAAAAAAAAATATTGACATATATGATAATAGATATTATATGCAAGACACTGAATTATAATGAAATGAAAAGTAAATTGTAAAAAAGTGCTCATTTAAAAGAATTCTTCTGTTCAGCTTTAGTTACAAAAAAGGCTATTTTAGGCTAATTTTATTATTTTTGGATTTATTGTTTTTCTGCAATTGACTACTAATGGACCATAGAGTTGTTTTTAGCAAATGTATAAATCGGTTGTGTCCTAAAAAAATAAGCTCAAATTATCATCACAAGTCTGATAACAAAATAATTATTTTTAGACTTTAACATTGGAATACATCAAGATTTGATAGACCTAAAAATAGATATTATGTGGTTTATTCAATAAACAGTTAATTGCCTTACGTTAGCTAGTTTGTAATTGGTCTATTTTTTCAAGACATTAGTCAATTCACCAAAGCTCACTGCATTGGAATAAACTACTAGCTTTATAAAAAAGAGGCAACACAATAAATTTTTTTTAAATATTTGTACAATTTAATATGTCACCTGTAATGTAGCTTTATGTATACAGGGAGTGCAGAATTATTAGGCAAGTTGTATTTTTGAGGATTAATTTTATTATTGAACAACAACCATGTTCTCAATGAACCCAAAAAACTCATTAATATCAAAGCTGAATATTTTTTGAAGTAGTTTTTAGTTTGTTTTTAGTTTTAGCTATGTTAGGGGGATATCTGTGTGTGCAGGTGACTATTGCACAAGCTATGCATAATTATTAGGCAACTTAACAAAAACAAATATATACCCATTTCAGTATTTTATTACCAATTAGGAAACCAATATAACATCTCAGCATTCACAAATATACATTTCTGACATTCAAAAACAAAACAAAACAAATCAGTGTAAGCCACCTTTCTTTTGCAAGGACACTCAAAAGCCTGCACCATCCATGGATTCTGTCGATGTTTGATCTGTTCCACCATCAACATTAGATTACGCTTGCTTTTAACCACAACCTCCCAGACACTGTTCAGAGATTTGTTTTTACTCCTTGGCAAAATATCTCACATTTGATGATGGACCACAGGTTCTCAATGGGGTTCAGATCAGGTGAACAAGGAGGCCATGTCGTTAGATTTTCTTCTTTTATACCCTTTCTTGCCAGCCACGCTGTGGAGTACTTGGACGTGTGTGATGGAGCATTGTCCTGCATGAAAATCATGTTTTTCTTGAAGGATGCAGACTTCTTCCTGTACCACTGCTTGAAGAAGGTGTGTTCCAGGAACTGGCAGTAGGACTGGGAGTTGAGCTTGACTCCATCCTCAACCCGAAAAGGCCCCACAAGCTCATCTTTGATGATACCAGCCCAAACCAGTACTCCACCTCCACCTTGCTGGCGTCTGAGTCGGACTGGAGCTCTCTGCCCTTTACCAATCCAGCCACGGGCCCATCCATCCGGCCCATCAAGACTCACTCTCATTTCATCAGTCCATAAAACCTTAGAAAAACCAGTCTTGAGATATTTCTTGGCCCAGTCTTGACGTTTCAGCTTGTGTGTCTTGTTCAGTGGTGGTCGTCTTTCAGCCTTTCTTACCTTGGCCATGTCTCTGAGTATTGCACACCTTGTGCTTTTTTAGCACTCCAGTGATGTTGCAGTTCTGAAATATGGCCAAACTGGTGGCAAGTGGCATCGTGGCAGCTGCACGCTTGACTTTTCTCAGTTCATGGGCAGTTATTTTGCGCTTTGGTTTTTCCACACGCTTCTTGCGACCCTGTTGACTATTTTGAATGAAACGCTTGATTGTTCGATGATCACGCTTCAGAAGTTTTGCAATTTTAAGAGTGCTGCATCCCTCTGCAAGATATCTCACTATTTTTTACTTTTCTGAGCCTGTCAAGTCCATCTTTTGACCCATTTTGCCAAAGGAAAGGAAGTTGCCTAATAATTATGCACACCTGATATAGGGTGTTGATGTCATTAGACCACACCCCTTCTCATTACAGAGATGCACATCATCTAATATGCTTAATTGGTAGTAGGCTTTCGAGCCTATACAGCTTGGAGTAAGACAACATGCATAAAGAGGATGATGTGGTCAAAATACTCATTTGCCTAATAATTCTGCACTCCCTGTATATGCATCTGTTTGTGAGAGTGTGTGTGTCTTAAGCACTTACCTTTCTCCAGCACCGAACTCCCTTGGCGCTGGGGATCTCTCCGCCCCGATCCGCCTCTCAGCTCCGAACGCGCATGCATGGCATGAGCCGAGCGTGCATTCAAACCGCCCATAGGAAAGCATTACTCAATGCTTTCCTATGGACGTTCAGCGTCTTCTCACTGTGATTTTGAGAATCGCGGAAGCTCCTCTAACGGCTGTCAATGAGACAGCCGCTAGAGGCTGGATTAACCCTCAGTGAAACATAGCAGTTTCTCTGAAACTGCTATGTTTTCAGCTGCAGGGTTAAAACTAGAGGGACCTGGCACCCAGACCACTTCATTGAGCTGATGTGATCTGGGTGTCTGATAGGCAATAATTTTTACCGTTCACATGGAAACTAGGTCTTACTTAGTGCTAAGCAACTTATCAATTTCTAGGAGACACATTATTAGTTTTGGCAGCCACTAATTATCAAGTTGCTAAAATTTACATTTTCTAGAATAAAAACAACTGGCAATAGCCACCATTTTAATCATTCCTGGCTTGCTGCTGAAATAATGAGTGAAACTGCTCTAGTTGTGATGAAAATGGGTTTGTGGAAAAACAGTGTATGGACAGGCCGTGTCTGTAAACCCACTAAATAAGGGATTAAAAAAAAAAACATGATTTCATTTAATTTTAAATATATATACATATTTTGCATTTTTAAAATCTATTATTTAAAATGCATTAAAAAATTGTTTTTTTTTTACCCTATAGATCCCCTTTAAATTTGAAATTCAATTTGAAATCACCTTGAATTTCCAATATACACGTTAAAGGCCCAGTAAAGGCACCCAGAATATTTCATCTCAATCGATCGGTCCAGGTGCAGTAGGCCTTTAAAACCTGCTGTGAAAAACATTGCAGTGTCTTCCTGACGCCACTCGAGGTGCTTCCATTACAATGTGACCAAGTGCAACTCATAGAAAATCAATGAATGAAATGCTTTCCTATGAGAAGCACTTCCTATGAGAAGCATTCACCGCTTGTGATTCAGGAGAGGAGCATTGGATTGGACCATCGGATTTACAGTGACACTTGCCAGTAGCAAATCAGCAGCAGTGCCGTGGAAATCTCAGCACTGGAGAACAGGTAAGTAAAACCCTAATTTTTTTTTTAATGCCGTTGGGAAGGCCCTCGGAACTGTACAGATGAACATTAGTGGGTTAGGGATACTTTAATGAATATCAAATCTGACTTCAATTCTTGGTCAGTTTACTCCAGATCCCCTTCAGTACTTCTGCTTGCTGAAGATTTCCATAGAAACTGACACTTTTAAAATTAATTTTGTTCCCCCTCCCCCTACTGCTGTTAATCAGACAGCCAGTTCTGTTACTTTCAGTGGAGCTAAACTCAAGAGGCAGCAATTACAAAGAGCACCTGCTTTGCAAAGACTTCTCATTGAGTTGTATTGGGAAGTCTGTGATTGGACAGCCACAAAAAGGTCTGAGCTGGGTTAGAGGGGGAGGGCTTGTAAAGTCAGCAAACGAGATTCCTGCAACTATTTCCAAGCTGTTTTGAGATATACCAACAATTTTAAAAATGCATAATTAAAGACATACGTTTTTTTGTTTTTTTTTATTGGAAGCCTATCTACTAACAGGGACTTTTGTTTATTTTTGTATTTTGCCAGTAGAGAGTCTCTTTAATTTTACTGCAGTTTAATAAATGGGGCAGGGTTATGTCACAAAAGCTGCAGTACCATTACCTTCTGTTTGGCTGCTAGAGCATCCTGTCCTGGGGGTTGCACTATAGCAGAGCTGTCAGGGATTGCCTGTGCTTTGAAGCATTAATAATGTGCTTTTCCCAACCCCCATCCCATCATTAACCTGCAGCTACACAGACTTGTTAAGACACCTTGCTCTGTGTGTGAACTAAAACAGACAGCATTCTGTCATACAGACAGACGGTATTAAAGTGCCCTTAGCTGTAAGAATGAAGGTGGCTCGTTCTGGTAATTATAAATGTTCAATTAATAAGGTAGATCACATTATACAAAAAACACACCACAATAATTACATGATTCCTGAAATTATATCACATCCTGAATAATATTGGATACATGAAACACTATAAACTATCATCTCATAGTACACATAATTATAAATTGTTATATTATAATAATAATTAATATTATTATTATAAAACATAAATAGAAACTGCTGTTTATTGTTCAAATATTCACATAGTTTGATCATTGGTGGTTTTTAAGTTGTAAGTTACATATTACACTTGACTTGTGCATTTTGGTTCTGATAAATCCTATTTTCCAAAAACAGAATTTTTTTTAGGATGCCTGCATTTCCGCTGGGAAGAATTTCAGAAATGAGATTCCGATTCAGAAACCGAATCAGAAAAACACAAAAAGTGCGAAAGTGGGACAATCAATGTGTCTATCTATCTATCTATCTATATCATTCATCTATCTATATCAGGGATTCCCAATTAATTTTTCCCATGGAACCCTTTGACATAGTGTATCAATATCGTGAAGTCGTCGTCCCCCTCCCATCCACTCCTGTAAAATAAATAATTGGCGCTGTTGCATAAACCTTTTTTTTTTGTATGTGCCGGTGTGTGTCTGTGTGTCAAGGTGTGTGCATCTGTATTTGTATGTGCCAGTGTGTGTATCTGTGTGTCAGTGTGTATGAATCTGACACACAGATACACACACTGGCACACACACGCACACTGGAACTGGCACATAGTGGCACACAGATACACACACTGACACACAAATAAACACACTCAGATACACGACACATAGATACACTGAAAGATAAGCACACAGGCACATACACACACTGCTACATACACACACACACTGGCACACACACACACTGAAAGATACACACAGTGACACGCAGATACACACACTGGCACATACACTCAGATACACACTGACACAGGTAAACACAGTGACACATACACACAGATACACAATGGCACATACACACACTTAGATACACACAGTGACACAAACACTTACACACAGATACACACACTCAGATACACACATTGACACATTAATAGACACACTCAAATACACACAGTGACACAAAGATTTCACACAGATATACACACACACACACTGTCAAATACACACGCATGCCATTTTATATATTTGCAGTCACCCCGCTGTTAGCATACCTGTTGTCTGCAGGGGGGTGACTTGCTTGCTGAGGCTGGTGTGTGTGGGGGGAGCTGCTCACTGACGGCTGCTGCCTCTCTCCCTCCAGCGCGGCATTTTCTGTATGAAGCTGGGAGGAAATGACTGTCCGTCTGTTACTTCCTCCCAGCATCCCATACTACGTGGACCCGGTCGTGCAATAAATCGGCCACGGCGCTGACCGCGTCCCTTTGCAGCAATGCCCATCGGGTGGTCACAGCGGAACACCAATTGGGAAACACTGATCTATATCATTCTATCTATCTGTCTGTCTATCTATCTATATCATTCTAGCTATCTATATATCTATCTGTCTGTCTATCTATCTATCTATATCATTCATCTCTCTATCTATCTGTATATCTATCTGTCTGTCTATCGGTATATCTATTTATCTATCTTTTTGCAGTATACCCATCATTTGGTTCACAGATTAGGTGAGAAAAAGTAGCCAACAGAAAGCAAACAGGCGGAGCAGTAACAGGAAAATAATGTTTTTATTGTTTACTGGTTCTTCTGCTTTTCTGTCTCTTTGCCCCTTCTCGCCTAAGCTGTGAGTAAAATCAGCATTGAGTAAGTGTATCCTAGTCATCGTTCATCTATTTTTTTGGCATGGGCAGCATTGAGAATATTATCCCAACCTCCCTCCCCCCAACATGTTCGGCATTGTCTGGTTTGATTAGTCCATAATTCAGGTACATTTCATCTCAGAATTCAGCAGAACAACCAAACGGCCAAAATTTGGGCAAATAGCAGTTTGGTCCGAACCTAATCTCCACGTTTATTACATTTACTGTGGCTGCCGAAAGCCAAACTATATGGTTTGTAGTACGCCCTGAATACTGTATAGGTAAGCCGACAGATGGCCACCTAGGAGTATGAATTATCAGATTAACAGAAAAGGTAAGAACGTTCCGAAAGAAAGTATCATTATCCTGAGAGCTTATGTGGAAAGGGAAACGTATAGGATGGGACAACGCTGCACTAGTAATGGCTGAGAGCATTGTGAGAGTACAGGGCTGTATAAAAGCCTTTTACTAGTGATCGTGGGCAACTGGGCATTATGGAGTTATGTATACCGTGGTTATGACTGTATACTTGCATAAGAAAGCACAGCCTAATTGTGTGCACTAATATGATTTTTTTTAAATCCCATTAGCTGTGTCCATCAGTTCTGCAGGAGAGAATATTCAATAAGTTTGAATATGTAAAACAGAACACAATGCAATATCTTACCTGACCACTAGATGGCCCTATACTCTTACACCCCCAGGTAAGGTACCACAAAGTGTAATCAAGAAACCATGTAAAGTAAATTAATGGCATTGGCTCGTGCGATCCAAAAAATGTCACTATGTATTGGCTACCACCAAATCTGGGGAGCACGTCTACCAAAACACTAATGGTCAAAAAAAAAAAGTACCTGGCCAAAATACACAAGATGACTAAATGGGTTAGTACATTTTTACAGTTTGGTACAAAATTTCCAATCTCCTAGTATTTTTTTTTTTTTTTACAATTCCTATTTTAATGAGTAAGCCTTAAATTGCCCCACTAATTGAATAATTGGGTTTCTAATATGAGTGGATTTTTAATATCTAAAGCACTAAAAATACACAACAATATTATATTAACACCTATGCGTATACACTACAGGTATATTGGAAAAGCTTTCTTAGGATCACTATAGGGTCAGGAACACAAACATGTATTCTTGACACTATAGTGTTTAACCCACCATTTAGGTGGTTTGCCACACTTTTGCCCCTATATAAAAGTTAATAAAACTCACCTTATTTCCAGCACCACGCGGGTCTGCCTCCTTTGTGACATAATCAAAATGGCCAATTTTTAGCCAATCCAATGCTTTCCAATAGGGAAAGCATTGGATTGTCTAAAATCGGCACGGGGGCGGGACCAAATGCCATTTTGGCCAGTCAGGACTTCCTCATAGAGATGCATTGAATCACTGCATCTCTATGAGGAAAATTCAGCGTCTCCACGCAGAGCGTGGAGACGCTGAATGTCAGGGCTGCTTTTTCGGCAGCACTGCGCCATGAAGCATCTCCAGTGGCCATCTAACGAGTGGCCACTTGGAGGTGTCTCTAGAGGCAAAGTAAACACCGCCTTTTCTTTGAAAAGGCAGTGTTTGCATGAAAAAAGCCTGAAGGGAACTATTATACTCACCAGAACAATTACATTAAGCTGTAGTGGTTCTGGTGACTATAGTGTCCCTTTAAATGTAAAATTCTGGTTAGAAATGACAACTATTGGAGGGAAGCATGTAACTGATGTTTTCAATCAATGCTGATTCAGATAATTTTTCCAGATGTGTTATTTTGAATTATATTAAATTAACTTTCAATACCCTGAAAATTTTTACTGCTGTCTCCCACTGAGTCCCGTAGTAATGTACACACAAAGCAGACAGCTAGAGGTATTAGTGCAATAAATATGTCCCTTTAAATGAAGGATTGAACTGCCAAAATACTTCACCATCTAATACAGCAAAATCAGGGAAGGGGAAGGATATAAATATATATATCATACTTTGTCCACAGGTTCAGGACGAATTCTGTAAAAAGATGCCAAAGATTAAAGTTAAATAAATAATTTTTAAATGTTTAAATCGATTAAATGAATTGTTTATACAGTGAATTATAAGAGAAAATTGACTAAATATTATTTTCTCTCGTATTTCCCCTGAAGACAGATTTATTGTGGACAGTAAAACCTATGAGATTATTAACTAAGCATCAATTTGCAGTAATTTACAGACAGAATTTAGGCATAAAGTGGCTGATTTGGAAAAAATATTATCCAAATTCGCTCTAGTCACAGTTTGACTACTACATTTTTAATCACCCAAATTACTGTTTAGCAGAATAAACCCTTATCTGAACATTAAAGAAACAGAGAAGGTCAGAGCCATTTTACAGGGTTAAATAATAAGTGGATGTAAAGTATCACACGCATTTTTAGAATTCAGATATACTCCTCAGTATACAATTTCTAATACAGATTTAATTGCAACACTGGTGCTCAAATGAACAATATATTTTCACTTAGGACACTCCACTGCCCCCCAAAAAAGAAAAAAATACCATATAGTGGATTTACCCCCAATAAAAACATATATGAATTCTAATTATCAGATCTCTTGTCTCCAGCTTTTGCAAGCCCTCCCCTTCTAACCCCGCCCAGACTTTCTGTAGCTGACCAATCAGACTTCCCAATGCAGCTCAATGAGAAGTCATTGTAAGGCAGGTGTTCTGAACAATTGCTGCCTCTTGGGTTTAGCTCCACTGAACTACTCAAACCAGGAAGTAACAGGACCAGTTGTCTGATTGACAGCCGGGGGTGTAACAAGATACATTTCTAAATATTTTTAATTTCCATAGAAATCTGCACTTTTTGTGTTAATAAAATAAATAAAATAAGGACACACTCTTCACACATAAAGCATTTCAGGAGTATTCCTTTAAGTGTGTACTGTCTGGAATACGAAGTGAATTTCAAATATTAGGCCGAAGTAGGCAAAAGCAAAACATAACTGACTTGGAGCGGTCTTCCAATTTAGCGGTTTTGGTAAAATGTAAATTTACCCTGGCCTTTGCGGAGACTGGCAAGTTTGATGAAGGTAGGCAAAATTAAAACCAGCCTCATATGGGACTGTTCCCTTATTGAGGTTGCTAGAGGGATATTCTGAACTATCATTATTTCCTTAAAATTTTTAGAAACATTTTCTCCCTCTTTTCAGTAAATCTGTATTCTAAACACTGTCCTCTCTGCTCAGATCTCAAAAAAAAACAAAAAACATTTCAGGAATGGCATCTATCCATAGTACAAGCCGGCTGACGAGTCCTGACCAGCAAAATACTTTTGACTATAATTATTCTATAATATAATTTCTGTCCTGCACAATCTGCCATTTTTATTTATTTATTTTTGTGAATTTTGATCTTATCTCTGGAAAGAGTTTGTGTATGGATGACTGCGGAGCAGTCCGTATTGATTTACAAAATATACAGTTGCATTATTATCTTGCAGGGAATCAGCAGAGCATATTAAATATATTATGTCACACAGATTGCTATCCCCCGCAGTGAAGCAGAGGCAGGCTGCATATGCAATTCTTTACAGCTGATCTCTTGCTGAAATCTTTGGAGAAAGCATTGTATTTTCGAACAGGGAAATCTTGCGCTGATACACTGGACGTGAAACATTTTCCATGCTCTGGTGAGGAAACATTTAATGTTCTCGGCACCATAACCACTACAAGCTTTTAAAAGTGGGTATGGATGCAGCCGCTCGAGTTTCTATCAAACATTTTTCACCTCTGCTCCATGAATCTACTCCCTGCCTCCAGCATGTTATAAAAAGGAAGTACAACTTAATATTTGTACATAATTCATTTGGATAGCACAAACATGCAATGAAAGATTGTAAGCTCAGTGCTATAGAAAAACTCAGCCAATCAAAAATTCTGCAGCCTTTACTGTGCTGATGATAGATGTAGGTGAGTCGA